CGGCCGTTGTTGAAGAGCAGCACGTGGCCCTCGCCGGGCACGCCGCGCAGGAACTGGGCCGCGTGCTGGTTGAAGAGGTACTGGTCCACGCGGCTCCCTGCGCGGGCGACCTGCGGGTTGCCGAAGCGGTACAGAATGTCCCCGCCCCTGCCGCGCTTCCCACCGGTGTGCCCGCTCGCCTCGGTCGTGGTGGTCGAGTGGTCCAGGATGAGCACCTCGCTGGCGATGTTGACGGACAGGAGCACCTGGTCGCGCACAGCGTCGTACGAGAGGGCATTAATGTGCAGCCAGTCCTTCTCGCCGGTCTTGCCTGGCCCGAGCCCGGAAGCAAAGGCCTCCAGCCCGAGCACCTTCTTCTCCTTCGTCTCCGTGAGGAGGTCGCGGTTGCGCGCGCCAGGCTTGCCGCCAGGCGGGCAGTAGTTGATGTCGAAGAGCTGCGGGTTTGCGGCCACGTCGCCGAAGTTTCTCTTCTCGGGGTCGTAGTCCTGCACCACGTGATCCCAGAAGGACCACTTCCAGACGATGTCAGCACCACCCTTGCCGTTCGGCCTGAGCTCCAGGATGGTGTCGTTCCAGATTTCGCCGTCTGGCAGGAGGTCGGGCCTGCGGCCTTCGCTCAGGGCCTGCTCCTTGCTCTTGCGCTCCCAGCGGAGCACCATGACGTTTCCGTTCGGGATGGGCTCCAAATCGTGGTGTGTGAGGTACTGGGTATAGGGGCCAGAATTGAAGCTCCAGACCAACTCGTTGTCCCAGGTAACCTCCTCCACAAAGCCAGCAGCGCCGCCCGCTTTGAAACAGGGCGCCTCGATGTTGTCGTTGCCGTCCCGGAGCAGGTTCCCGTTCGGGAGGAGGTACGCGCAGAAGTTGACGCGAGAGCTTCGCCACTCTTGCGCCGTGGTGGCCAGGCCCCATCTGAGGGGGCAAGGGCACGAGGCGAGGATATATCCATATCCACAACCTTCGTAAACGACGTCCCGGGACCCCAGCGGGCGGTGGATATGGAAACGTTTCGGCCCCGGGGGGGCCGAGTGTGGTCCAGATCTACCGCCTGCCGAGGTGCCCGAGGGTCGATGCCCTGGGCGGCGGTTGTGGACAGACACCTGCCTCGGAGCGGGGCCGCACTGACGGCCAGACAGACCCTCTCAGGAGCGACAGGAGCAGCCACAATGGCAGGACGCCTGCCGGCACCGGCCGAATGATCGATTGCCTGATCCCTGGAAGGTCTGCCCCACTGCCCCTCCGAAGCACGGGGATTCAAGACAGCGGCGACCCAGAATCAGACCCCGGACCCCTCCCGAGATCCAAGCGCACCAGTTTCCCGAGCCGCGCGCAACGGTGGCCACGAGGAGGCCACCCGATGGCCAATCGACTGCCGTTGCCTCAACTCGCCCTGCTCTGACTGGGGAGAGGGGACGGGGCCACCACGGCTCGTGCACGACCCGCCCGTCCTCGTCGATCATGCGAGGAAACAAAGCCAGCCTGGACATCCACTTTCTGAGGTCCTCTTGGATTTGCGCTGACCCCTCCGCCCTGGCGCGCGGAGCACGCTAGGGGCGGCGCCGCCGCGGGGCTCCAGCGGCAGCGCCGATCCAAGCAGTCCACGCAGACCTCCGAAGGTGTATGTTCAGGCTGTCAGTTGTTCCTCGTCGATCAGGTAGGTCTCGCGCCCCATGCTGAAGAGCGTGAGGCCCTCCTGCATCGTGGCGTCGCGCTCCAGCACACCGACCGTGCGATCCGCCAGTGGGACGCCCGGCATCCCAGGCTGTGTTCTAGATGGCTGCGCCAATCCGCTGGGCCGAGTCGGACCTGGGCAGCCGAGCCGAGCGAGGCCTGGGCGGGACGGCTTTGCCAGAGGTGCGGGGCCTGAATCAAAATGACTACGACACAGAGGAGGAAGGGCCAGGGGAGGAGGCAGACGTCATGCTGCATCCTCGGGGGACCCTGCCTGTCCCGCCGCGCCCCGATCCGCGTCGAACCCGTGTCGAAGCCATGTCGGACTCAGCCCGCCTCGGGCACGAGAGAAGGCACCCATGTGGGGGGCACCCGAGGCCCCCCGAAGCTGCCGCGGAGATCCCGCACAGGAGCCCCGCGCGTGGGGGACGCGCTGGCACTGGGCGCGGGGCGCGGGCCCAGGCTGGCCGGAGCCCGGCGCCACGCCGCGGGCCCCGGCCAGCCGCTAACCGCCAGGGCCGGCGGAGGGAGCGGCAGGCTTGCCGTCGCTCGGACGTCCATGCCCTGTGTTTCTTTCAGTCTCGTGCGTGGTTTTTTTTTTCGCCAAATGATCAAGGATGCTCCTCGATGGCCCTCGCCGAAGGAAAAATGCACACGTCCGAACGATGCCAGGCAGGCGGGGCCGGAGCCACGCGGCTCGCAGGCCCGGGTCAGCTTGAGCGTGAGCGGAGGGGACCGGCCAGAGGCCTCCCAGATGGGGCCCGAGCAGGCGGGGGGTCGGAGGACGGCGCTGCATCGCCGACGCATCGCCGATGCATCGCCGACGCATCGCCGATGCATCACCGATGCATCGTCGGCGTCGGCTTGGAGCGCATCGGGCTCCACATCGGGCCGCATCGCGCATGCATCGGCGATGCGGATCGATCCTCCGAACCCATCTGCAGTGGGAGCCCGACCACAAGAAACCCAACCCTGAGACCCCAGGTTGTCCATTGATCTGGCGTGGGACAATCACGCCTTCCACAGCTGAACCATCGAACCCCAAGAAACCCAGGGCACCCTGGAGGCAGGCATGGTGTCTCTTGGCATGGGCCCCCACTCTACTCTGACACCATCTGGGAGGCCTAGATTGGCTGACCCCCGTTGCGTGCTCCTCGAGCCCAGACACGGGTCTCGCCGTGAAAATTTGGTCGGGCATGTACCCCTACAGGCGGATCTTCGACGAAGAATAGAACAGATTCAGAACAGAGTCAAACATCCGCCGACCCTGTCGGCGTTTGGAAGACGCGTCGTCCTCGGCGCGCCACCCTTAGCGAAAATGACCTACATCGTAAATGAGCTACCGCGCCACCCTCAACGAACATGAGCTCCATCGTACTTGAATCGGAGGGAAGCCTCTTCCCTTCGATCCCTTCCCCGCCGACGGGAGGGGGGTCCCGGGGGGGGTCCCGCGGGGGGGTCCCAGGGGGGGGGTCGCCACCCAGATACGCACCCTCCCCCCGGCCTACTTTTCTGATTATTTTGCCCATCCCGAACATGTGGGGAAGGGTCCTCCTCCCCCCTCTTCTCCTCCCCTTCCTCCCTCCTACCTCCCTCCTTCTCGGGAGGGGCCAGCATGAGACCCCCAAGATGTCCCCAGGAAGCGCCAAGAGGCCCACAGGAGCCTCCCAACAGGCTCCCAAAAGGCTCCAAAGAGGCTCCCAAGAAGCTCCCGAGAGGCGCCAAATCTAGCCCCCAGAGGCCCCCCAAGAGCGCTCCGAAGAGCGGCCAAAAAGCGTTCCTGAGGACTCAGATTCACGTCAACATCGTTGTCGTCGTCGTCGTCGTCGTCGTCGTCGTCGTCGTCGTCGTCGTCGTCGTCGTCATCGTCGTCATCGTCCTCCTCCACCTCCTCCTCCTCCTCGCGTCTTCTTCCTCCTCCTTGCGTATTCCTCCTCCTCCTCCTCCTCCTCCTCCTCCTCCTCCTCCTCCTCCTCCTCGTGCTTGAATACCTCCGGCTGCCACCTTCATCGTGGGTGTCGTCTTCCAGGGTCGGCGGCACCGGCCGTAAGGCCTTCGCAACATGGAACAACAATCCAAAATTCGTCCCCAGACTATTTTGAACTATTTTTGAATATTCCTCCTGTAGAGGCACACGCCCGACTTAGAGTTAGAAGATCACGTCGCGAGGTTTCTGGACCTTTCCAGTCTCTGGGGCCACCGAGGCGCGAATCTAGAATCCAGAAGCCACTAGTCACGCCCTAGAGACGGGCGCAGAGAAACTGCACCATCACAGCTTCAGATCTTTGGTCTCATCCTGATGCCCCATTTTTCCTTCACGGTATGCCCAGAGCTCTTGGGGGCCAATTCTTCGTCCCGGGGCGGCCTGGCGAGGGCCCCGCGAGGCCGACCACAGCCGAGAAGCTCCCGTCGAGATTTTGCTCTGCGCAGGGGGGATCGACGAAGGAGGAGGAGGCGGAGGAGGAGGAGTCGCGAGGAGGAGGCGGAGGAGGAGGAGGAGGAGGAGGAGGAGGAGGAGAAAGGAGGAGGATGAGGAGGAGGAGGAGGAGGAGGAGGAGGAGGAGGAGGAGGAGGAGGAGCAGGGGCAGCAGGAGGAGCACGACGAGGAACACCGAGTGAAAGGAGAGGGAGAGCACGAGGCTCACTGCCCACAGAGGGAAGAGATGGCGGAAGAGGGGAGGGGATGGAAAGAAGGGAGAAGGAAGGATGGAGGAGGCGGACGACGACGAGGGAACGGAGAGGGCGCAGGAGGAGAAAAGGGAGGACAACCTCAACCCCCTCCTCTGGCCCTCAGGGGGAGTAGGACAAAATCGCAGGAAGTCTTACTCGATAATGTGGGAGGAGGGGGAGACAGAAAAAGAAATACGCGTAGGAGGACGATTAAGAAGACAAGCGCGACGTGGAAACTTGGGAAAGACACAACAAGAAATTGAGCAGGACAAGACACGGGTGAGGAGAAACGCCTGTCCAGTCATTTAAAAACTCCACAGGGCTGCGCGACCAGTTTTTGGGGCTCAAGCCCCTCAACCAATGCCATGGCAACAAACATCGCTAAGGGAGGCGACGAACAAGCAAAACCTGGGAGGAGGCAGACGGTGCCATGCCCGAGGAGGAGGAAGACAACATAGACCATCGCCTAGAATGAAGCACCGCTGCAGGCAAGACCCAGGCTGTCGCCTTACCTGTCCTGTGGAGATGCGCTTCAGGGAGGGAGCACTCGCTGCGCATAACGGTGCGCCGGCATTTCCGTGCTGGAAAACTGTGCGGCCCGCGCGGCTGCGCGTCGACCAACTAGTGTGCAGCACGCACCTTGGCCTGCACGGCCCAACTCACGCCTGGTACTTCTTGAAGTCCACCTGGTCCACCAAGGTCTTGTTGATCAGCTCGTTCATGAAGTTGTCCGGCTTTCCGTCCTCAGGCTCCGTCCTGTTCTCGGCCCCCTGGGACTCGAACCAAGTGACCACGTGGTTCCTGTCGCCCTTGAAGGTCTTGCGCCCGTGCAGGACGCGGTAGTTGTCGATGAGCACCATGTCTCCCTTCTTCATCTCCAGCAGGTGGATGTTGCGCTCGCACACCTCTTGGCATCGCTCGGACGTGTGCATTTTCCCTGGCGAGTCCAGCGGAAAAACAGATGGAACATATTGGAGCATCTTGGATCCCACTCAAGAACAAAATCACGAAACCAAATAACAATGCACCGGGAATTGAACGGCCGAGCGATGACAAGACCTCGTTGATGTGGTCGCAATCCTCGGGGGGGATCCTGCTGAGGTCTCCGAAGAAGACGTCGGTCATGCCGACCTCCGGCACCGTGCAAGGGCGGCGGTCGCGGAGGTACCGGCTGTGGTTGTGCAGGTTGCAGAACCAGACCGGCTGGCCCGTCACTGGATGCCTTAGGTGCGGACATCCGAACCCGACCCCCACTAGCCATCTCCTGAATCGATGGGAGGCGGGGGTAGGATTCGGACTTCGCAACTGTTTCGACGAATCCCACTGGCCCTCTGGGCGTACGTGGTTAAATGAAATTTGAGTTCTCTCCCCCTCCTTCCCCCGCTCGAAGGGGGGGTACCACTGTCCCCTATTCTAATAAGCACCCCCTCCCACATGCGACGGGCAGCCAACAAGGACCAATGAGGACCCCCGCCATCCCCGACAAAAAACAATATGAAGTCGACTTGGAGGCAAAATCGTGGGTCATGATCGGGGGGGGGCGCGAGCAATTTGCAGTGTCTTTTGGAATGAAATGGACGGCGGGGGTGGCCGCATGTTGCCCGCTGCGCGCAGGGCCGGCATCCCTATCTTAAAAAAACAACATGCACTACGAGGCAAAAGCGGGATCAAACGAGGGCACCCCGCGATCACTGTGCATCGGTTTTTGCCTGGGACGGGAAGGGTGCAAACATATTGCCTGCTGTGTGCAGGCCCACCGGACAGTATGATGGCCACCCCGCCGCGATTGCGCACTCGTTTTCGACAAGGTTGGAGGGGGCCGACACGTTTCCCGATGTGTACTGCCACTTGCGCAGGCGCACCTGGCACACCCTGCGCGTGCCCCGAACGTGGCGCACCTGGCGCGGCAAGAGCATGCGGCACACATGGCGCACGCGGATCACGTGGCGCATCTGGCGCACCAAGGGTGGCTGGCGCGCTTGGGCCACAGTGGTGCCTGGCGCACTTGCCTGACCCGCGTGGCGCGGTTGGCGCGCGTGGCGCACCTCGCCCCAGCGTTGTGCACATGGGATCTGTTGTGCTTCCCATTAGGTGTCCATCCAAATGCGACCGCTGAACATGCTGAGGCGCAGGTGCTAGTATCTTTTGGAAAGGGCGGGCGGGAGTGAGCGAGACAGCTTGCGAGCGGGAAGGGTGTCTTGATCACTGCTCCTGATGAATAAACACCCCCTTTCCCCCACCCGACTGTGGGCCAACACGGGACAGGCCAACCCCCACCCCCATCATCCGTGTCAAAAAAACCATGCAAAATGCACTTTGCCTCCAAATCTCGAGTACGCGCGGGCGCCCCGCGACCACTCTGCATCGGCTTCTGACCGGGGGTTGCAAGGGTGCTGGCACGCTGCCTCTTGCGCGCACGTCGCGCGCAAGCCGACCGTCCCTGTCAAAAAGACAAAACAGATCGCACTTCGCCTTCAACTCCGAAGCACGCGCGGGCGCCCCGCGACCACTCGGCGGGCGCCCGCGCGACCACTCCGGCATAGGGCTTGATGCGCGCAGGCCAGCCAAACAGCCACAACAGACAAATACAAAATGCACATCGCCTCCAACTCTGGAGCGCGCGCGGGCGCCCCGCTCACCACTCCCATAAATGTTTGGCACCTGTTGGGCCCAAGCTGCCGGCGACGAAGCCGTCCCTGTCTCACCAACGAAACCATAATGCACTGTGCCTCGAAATCTGGAACATGCGCGGGTGCCGCGCGACCGCCCTGCATTGGATTTTGAGCAAGGTGGCGGGGGTGCCGGCACATTGCTAGATGCGCGCAGGCCAACCATCCGTCAAGGAAGCAATACAGAATCCCATTCTCGGTCGGCCATCCGTTTGTTTTGTTGTGGATGGATACTTTCTATGCTGTAATCGAGAGAAGCACCTCACGGCCCCACGTCGCCATGTCTGCATGGTCCCACCGCTCAGGGGTTGCAGGGCCATCATCGGAACAGCACTCGTGGATGCCAGGCTCGTCGTCCTCCAAATTGCGCAAGCCAGCGGCATCCCAGCCCTCTCGTGGAGCACGTGCCGCAGCCGCGCCTCGCACGCTTGGGCCTCCAGGGTGCCTGGAGCACCTGAAACCCCTGGCGCACATGGCATGCGCGGCGCTCCTCGGCGATGTGCTGAGACTCGGGTGCTACTGATGTGTTGGGAGGGCGGGTGGGAGTGAGCGAGACGGCTTGCGGAGTCTGGGGGCCTCGACCGCTGTTCCATATTAGTATACACCCCGTCCCCCACCTGGCCGGCGACCAACCTGGAACCATGCCGACTCCATGCGGGCCCGCCCCCACCATCCCTGTCCCAAAAAATATTACAAACTGCACTTTGCCTCCACATGTGGAGCATGCGCGGCCAACCCGATGCGGCCCGCCCCACCACCCCTGTCCACAATGCAAAGTACACTTTGTGGAAAAGTCTTGAATCATGTTCGGGAGGCCCGCGAACACTTTGTGATGGTTTTGACAGGGGCGGCGAGGGTGTCAGCATATTCCCCAATGTGCGCAGGGCTACCATCCCCGACAACAAATAGTACATGCACCTCGCGGCTAAATCTGGATCATGCGCGGCCATCCCGCGATCACTGTCAAGTGGTTTTTGACAGGGTCGGCGGGGGTCGTCATGCGCGCGGCCTGTTGTGCGCAGGCCCACCAGAAACAATGATGGGCATTGGTTTTCGACAAGGATGGCGGGGGCCGACATGTTTCCCGATGTGTGCTGTCATTTGCGCAGGCGCACCTGACGCACGCACTCTGCCCGTGCCCCGAACGTGGCGCACCTGGCGCGGCTGGAGTGTGCGGCACACCTGGCGCACTCGGAGCGCGTGGCGCCCCTGGCACGCGTGGCGCACCTCGCCCAAGCGTCGCGCACCTGGGGTCGGCTTCGGTTCCCAGTAGCTGTCCATCCAAAGTCGACCGCTGAACATGCTCAGGCTCGGGTGATACTCGTGTGCTGCGAGGGCGGGTGGGAGTGAGCTAGCCCGCTTGTGGGCGGGCGGGTAGCTTGGCCCCTCCCCCTACGTACCCCCTCCCCTGGGCCTGGGAGGGGGGTGGCTCAGGTAGTTGGGAGGCCTCCAACACCCCTCCAATAAGCCCCAAGGGAGCCCCAAGACCCCCAAAACGAGCCCGAAGAGTGCCCAAGAGGCCCCACGGGGACCCCAAGAGAGCCCCTAAGATGGCCTTACTCGTCTTTCAAGGACCTCTCACACAACATGTCTCCAGAGCCGGTCTTCTCATCCTCCTTGTCATCGTCCGTTCCTTCTCTCCTCCTTTCCCGCCTACGCTCTCCTCTTCCACCTCCTCCTCATCATCATCTTCCTCGTGCCGCATTCCTCTTCCAACTCTTTTATTGGTCTCATTATTATTATTAGTAGTAGTAGTAGTAGTAGTAGTAATATTATTAGTACTATTATTATTGTTATTACTATTATTGTTACTATTATGATTATTATTATAACTATTAGTATTACCATTATTACTACTACTATTATTACTATGATTGTATGTATATTTAGTAGTCTTGTTATTATTATTACTATTATTAATATTCGTAGTATTATTAATATTCTTATTCTTCTTCTTATTATTAGTATTATTATTAGTAGTAGTGGTATTAGTAGTATGATTATTACTATAATTCGTATTATTATTCTGATTCGTATTCTTAATATTCGTCTCTCTGTCTCCTCCTCCTCTTCCTCCTCCTACCCCCAAGATGGTCCCAGGAGGTCGAGCATGGCTCAAGATAGTCTCCGACAGACCTCCAAGAGGCCTCAAGACAGCCTCAAGATGTCCCAAGCTAGCTGGACACGGCCCAAGATGGCCTCCGATAGCCTCTAGCCGAGCATGGCTCAAGAAAGCCTCCACGAGGCCTCAAGAAAGTCTCCGATCGTTTCTGGAAGGGCTGGTGGGCATACTTTTTGGTCTGCGGGCTCGCGAAGCAGGTCGAAAGCCGTCCGAACACTAGCCAGGCCGCGACTAGGCAGCAAGAGAACAGAGGCAAGCGAAGCGAGCGCGCGGGCAGCCACTCAGAAGAAGAGCCAGAAACGAAACTCCACTATGCTGGTGGGCATACTTTTTTTGGTCGCGGGCGGACGCGTGGGAGTCGCAGTCGCCGAAAGGGGGTCTGGGGCACGGGCCAGCTGGTGGGCATACTTGTTTGATTTGCGGCCCGCAAGGAAAAGTCCAGAGGGCGTGGCAATTGAGCAAACTGGGGCACAGTGCCAGATAATTACACTGGTGGGCATACGCGAAGCGTCAACGATTCCGAATCCTACCCCCGCCTCCCATCGAGTGATCGGCGAGGGTAGGGCTCGGACTTCGCCGCCGATGCCTGTTGATCGGAGACTGAGCGTGCTCCACGGCAGACATGCGGTACGGGTTGGTGCCGTCCACGCCGTACAGCATCTCGAGGTCCATCTGGAACTTCGGCTCCACGACGTCGAAGATGAGACCCCGGAGGCCCTCCTGCAGGCTCTCCCTGATGCCCTCCGGCAGCCCGCCCAGGAAGTTGAAGTCCAGGTTGCTGACCGAGATTCTGACCTTGTTCTTGTAGAGCCTCTCGAGGACGTCCTTGTCGATGTCCGCGATGATGGCCGCGCCGTCCGCGAGCATGAACTCGCCGCCGCCCTCCGTGGCGGGCTGGAAGCAGCCGAAGCAGCCGAACTTGGCGGTCTTGACCGTGGTGGACTCGTTGTGCAGGCCGACGATGTGTCCCGCTAGCGCGGGCTTGTTGACGGCCTCGTAGACTGCGTCCTTCTTCTCCTTCATCGCCCTCAGGCCCGAGGTGTGGATCGGGTCCAGGCACGGGTTCAGCTCCAACTGCTCAAAAAAGTCGCGGAAACCCGCGGCGTCCTTCGTCGTCTCGAAGTTGCGGAACCAGATGGCGCCGTGTTTCTGGAGCTGCTCCAAGATCTTGTCCTTCTGCTCGGCGAAATACTCCCTCTCGCTCTTTCCCTCGAGGTCACTCCTCACCTCGTTCGCGTCCCAGAGCAGCGGGCATGTGTCCGCGGGCTTCTGCAATGTTGAGAGGTCAATATCGTCCGCGTTCCAGATGGTCTTAGGGCAGTCGGGCAGGTTGCTGCCGATGTTCGGAGCAGGGCGAGTCGAGACAACGGCAGCTCAAAGTCGACCCCTGGATCCCTCCAGGCTCCAAATTCATAGAATTTTCCTAGCTGCGTATCTGTGGCGACGAGGTGCCCCCCGAAGGCCAGCTGCCGCTGTCCCAAATGGCCCCTCTCCGAGATGTCCTTCCTGTTCTCCCTCGCCTGCACGGGCGCGGCCACCGCGGACGCAGGCGCCTGGAGATGATGCTTGGATTCCGCCCCGTAACGTCCGTTACTGGGGAGAACGGCGGGAGGGGGTGCGAGCCTGCGAGCGCCACAGCATACTTGTGGGTACCACCGTACGCCTTCCGGCACCACACCATGCCTGCGAGCCCCGCGCCATGCATGTGGGGGACCCCCTCCCCGCGTACGTTCGGTACCGTTGCCAATCGGCCGCAAGAAGTGCGTGCAAACATGAAGTCGGAAGGCGTTGGAAGTAGATTTGATCTCCGCCCGCACCCTGAAGTCCAAGAAAGAAAGGGAAACCAATCGACCCTTGAAATAGGCAAGCGCCCAAGCCAGATCGAGATCCAACGACCGACGGCTGCGGTGAGAGGGGGGTGGGCGACCTCCCGCACGCGCCGTCACAGCCGCAGCGGCGGCGACGACGACGACGACCAGGAGGAGGAGGACGACGACCACGACGGCGAGGACGCTCCTGGCGCGGCGGCGACGACGACGACGACAACGACCAGCAGCAGGAGGGCGACCACGACGGCGAGGCCGCTCCTGGCGGCGCGCCGCCCGCCCGCGTCGGGCGGCCCGCCGCAGCGACGCCGCGCCCACGGCGAGCCCCGCGCCGGCCGCGAGGCCGCTCGCGCGCGGCCCCGCGGCCTCCTCCGCGCGCGGCGCCGCCGCGCCGCGCAGCGCGCGCCGGCCGGCCGCGGCGCCCACCGCCGGCGGCGCGGCCGCGTGCAGGAAGGCGAGCGCCATGGCGTGCGAAGGGGGGGGCTCGAGGGCGAGGCCGGGGCGCCCCGGAACCCTGGCGGCTGGACTGTTTGTTTTCGAGCCGGGCGCGGTCGCCCGAGGTCGGGCCCCCCAGGGAGCCTCGCAGATCGCTCCGGCCTGAAGAGTGGTGCAGGGAGATGGGGTCCAGGGCTCCGGTCGTGACTTCTCACGATGTTTCAAGTTTGTCGAGACATCGGATCTCATGGAGGCTAGCGCGGAGCAGCCCAGAATCGGGGCTGCCTATATATAGAGAGAGATCACACCTCCCCTCCCCTCTCCCCCTCCCCCCGTGGCCCTCCCCTCGTTTGCGTTTCGCCGTTGCCGGGGGCTCGAGGGCGAGGCCGGGGACCGGGGGAGAGAGATACCCTCGGTCTGCAACTTCTGAACCTTCCGCACTTCCGCGCGGCACTGCCGCGGCCGCCGCCGCAGCCGCAGCGGCGGCCACCGTCAAGGCCGCAGCGGCGGAACCTTCCGCGCGGAGGGTGCGGAAGGTGCAGGTCGAGGGTCGTGAAAGGGGAAAAGCCAGATCTACCGCCTGGGGGCCCGGCATCCTGGGACTCAAGCGGGCGGTGGATATGGATATATGTTGCACCCAGGGGGCCCGAGCGGATCCATATCCACCGCCTGCCGAGGCCACCCAGGCGGCCCAGGCGTTGGCTATGGATGAATCCCCGCCTCAGAGATCGGAGGCGGGAGGGGAAGCGCCAGGGCCAGCGCCCTCTCAGATCTTGGCGCTGCGATTTCGTCACGTCGGGCGTTGTTGCCCCGTTGCTGGCCCCGCGGCCCTCACGTGTCGATCCGGCTCGAACTGTGCCGCAGAAAGATGGGGTATGGGGATCCGGTCGTGATCTTTCGCACTTTTGTATTTGTGTTCGCAGGTCGCCGATCGGCAACTTTCTCCATGCCCCTCTTCCCCTGGCGCCCAGAGGTGGAGGGCAGCAGCAGGGGTGTGGTGTCGACCGCTGATCGAATGCGAGGCTGGGTACCAGTCGTGATGTTTCGCAATGTTGCATTTTTGTTAGCAGGTAGGCGATCGGAACGTTGTCTTGGGCTGGCCACGGGAGAGACGACTCGAGGCGTCAAGACGAGGGCCATCCTCCTCTCCCTCCTCCTGCTCCTCCTCCTCCTCCTTCTCCTGCCCCTCCTCCTGTGGAGTCTGGACTGATGGCAGGAAGATCCAGAGGATGTTGCCCTCCTCCTCCTCCTGCTTATCCTCCACCTCCTCCTCTTCCTCCCCCTCCTCCTTTTCCTCCACCTCCTCCTCTTCCTCCCCCTCCTCCTGTGGAGGCTGGGGACCAAGGAAAGGAGATCGGAGTCGGGAAGGGCAGCGCCAGGGCAAGTGCGCCCTGCAGTCTGCGCAGGCTGGCCTGAGCCAAAAATGGCTGCAGAGGGCCAGTGTCAGGAGGAGGATCAGGGGGGGAGGAGGGTCGGAGCCCGTAGCCAGCCTGTAAAGAGCACAAACATGAAACGCACGCGGCGTAACATAGGTGCATGAAAAGCCGTGAGGAGGAGGAGGAGGAGGAGGAGGAGGAGGAGGAGGAGGAGGAGGAGGAGGAGGAGGAGGAGGAGGAGGAAGACGAGGAGCAAGATGAGGAGGACGAGGAGAAGGGAAGGAGGGGGACGAGGAGGAGTAAGACGAGGAGGACGAGGAGGCGGAGGATGAGGAGGAGAAGGAGGAGGAGGAGGAAGCGGAGGAAGCGGGAAGGGCGGCGGAGGACGAGAATAATGAAGAGAGGAGGAGGGCGAGGACGAGATCCTGGAGCCTGCTGAAGGCCCCCCCCTCCACACACACAGCACACAACACAGACAACATAACATAGAACACACAACACAGTACAACATACACAACACAACACAACACAACACAACACAACACAACACAACACAACACAACACAACACAACACAACACAACACAACACAACACAACACAACACAACACAACACAGCACAGCACAACACACACACACACAGAAACTCCCCACTGGGCCTGCTTTGGGCCTGCTTCCCCCCTCCCCCGCTCCATCACCAACGTCGACAATGAGGACGGACCCAATCCCCCGACGTCGTGTACGTTTCAAAACGTCAATCACGAGCCGTCTTTTGAGTGGGGGGTCCCCAAACCTTGCGGTGACAAAACCGTGCGGCAACCTCGAAATCTCCAGGGACCTCACGGCACGGCCCGTCACCGCACGGCTTGGGGGCCAGGATCCCCGAGGCCCAACTTGCCCGAGGCCTCCCGGGACATCGGCCCGAGTCCCCCAAACCGTCCGGCCACCCCGAATCCACACTGACTCACTACACGGTGTGGTCACTGCACAGTTTTACGGCCCCTGATTTGAGGACCCCGCGAGGGCCACCAGAGGCCCAAAATTGCCAACAACAGTCCGTGGCATTTTTTTCAAAGCCGGAGGGGTCCTGGGGACGACGACGACGATGACGACGACGACGACGACGATCTGCAGCCCACTGGAAGCCGCTCAACCCCAGACATTCCCCCCTGAACTTCTCCCTCCCCCGATGCATCATCATAACCGACGCTTAGGACTGAGGGGACAAACAGGTACTGACACCGCTAATAATCCCTGGACAACTCCTATGAAGGTGCAGTCTGACAAGAATTCCGAAGAGAATCCGGCCTTGGCGATGTGGGCTCTCCAGGACGAGCAGCGGCATCGGTACCTTCTCCTCCGCTGACAAACGGACGAGGACGCCGAGGACGAAGAGGACGAGGCCGAGGCCGAGGACAATGACGACGACTGACCGACGACGACGACGACGACGACGACGACGACGACGACGACGACGACGACCGCCTACACGCAAGAGTGACCCTGGGCAGAAGCGACCTTTGGTGTGCGGGTGTCGGGTGCCGCGAGGGGGCCAGATCCAACCGCGCAGGCCAAAGCTGGAGGGGGGCCTTCCCAGGCATTGCATTCGATCTCCTGATTTGTTCAATACGGGCTCCCCATGGGAAATCCCGATCCCCAGGACCGGTTTTTGCTCATCCCGAATAATTTTGTTGACGGTCCCTGGGCACATCGACTGCCACAGGAGGCCGAAAACAGCCAAACAGCTTTCGTCGTGTTTTTTTGTTGACGACGAAAACATGTCTGGAACCCGTCACTACGACTCGCGATAACGCCCGTGACCGGCCGCGCCCCTCCCCCCTCTCCCCTCCCCCCCCCTGGTCTCGTCACGATTCGCGCTGGCGCCGTCTGATACGTAGCCATTCCTACGCATTGTCAAGCGGCGCAAGCGCGAATCGTGTCGCAAAGCAACGCGAGGCAATGCGCAGCAGAGCAATGCGATGCAATCGTGAAGCAACGCCAGGCAATGCGCAGCAAAGCTATGCGGCTGCGATGCGGCGGGGGGCAAAGGGGCGGCGGCGACGCACGGGAGCGGGGCCGCCGGGGCCTCGTGCGGGCCCAGCACCTCGGAGGCGAAATGGGAACCCCGACGCACAGGCACTGCCTGGGGAAGACCAGTATGCCTGGGTGGGGTGGCCCGCACCGGGAGGCCTCCTCCGGCGGAGGGCCACCGGTGACTCCGAGGAGAGGCGGAGGCTTCCAGCCGGCCCGGCGCCCAGCAGCTCCAGCCCCACGGCAGACCAGCCTCGAGGTCGCGCTCGCCGTCGGCGCGGCTGGCATCCTGGGGCTCGCCTCGCAGACATGGAGGAAGGGAGGAGGGAGGGAGGGAGGGAGGGAGGGAGGGAGGAGGAGGAGGAGGAGGAGGAGGAGGAGGAGGAGGAGGAGGAGGAGGAGGAGGAGGAGGAGAGGAGGGAGGAGGAGGAGGAGGAGGAGGAGGGGAGAGGGGGAGGGAGAGCATGACGCCACGGGCTCACTCCGATGGCATGACAAGGAATAGCAGGAGGAGAAGGAGCAAGAGCAGGAGGAGGAGGAGGAGGGCGAGAGGAAGAGGACAAAACGGAAAGGCGAGCCGTGAGGGGAGACTCGCACATAACTTGCAAGTAAGATGGGAATGAGGATGGAAATTGTGGATGGACTGATGTGGATGGGGTAAGATGAAGAGGAGAAACAGCGAAGAAGGGGAGGGGGAGGATGAGGATAAAACATGTTGGATGAAGAGGATGACTACCAAGAGGAGGCAGTAGTCGAGGAGGTGGGCAATCTGGAGGCTCGCCTTGTCGCAACTTGCGAAGCGGCAGATGCACCATTGCGCGGCTAGATCGGGGCGAACCCGCGCCCGAAGAGACGGCGCCGAACACTGTCGAGCCAAACCGAATGCTACGGATACGAAGATGGGGCGAGAGGGGGGGCGGAAGAGAAATCAGGAAGGAGCAGGTGGAGGGGTAGGAGGAAGAGAGGGGCGAGGAGCCGGAGGAATGATGGAGGAGGAGCCGCAGCAGCAGCATAAAGAAGCAATGATCTACATGCGAGGTATGCATACGGGGTCAGGGATACCGTGTCCCTCTGTCCGTCGTCCAACAAGTTCCCGCCTGTCGCTTGCTCGCTCCCTCCCCCGCCCTTCTCCCTCCGCCCTCATCCTGCCTGTCTCCGGGGAGCCCGCGGCGAGAGGAGGTGTGGCCCAAGCTCGGCAACAAAAAAATCCCAAGAGATCGATGGGTGACTGTGGACTTGAACGGCATCGGCCGCCCACGGGTGGGTGATATTCAATGGCTGCACATGCCCGAGAAACCCTCACACTCCCTGGGGAAACTACAGGGTACCGATACATCCACTCCTCGGACCTCTCCCAGGGTGCCTTCTAACCCAGATTTCGAAGCGAATCCAGCGGTGGCGACGACGGCACAAGGCGAACACGAGTCGAAGGTAGAGATATCGGTACCTTTTGTCCCCCCTTTGGAAAACTGATCCTGGCTAAACCCATTCATATGCAGTTGTGGATACCGTCTTTGCGGTATCGTTTTCGGCGATCTCCTCATGGGGCTATCAAACATGCGAAGGTTGTGCCGATATGGGGCGGGGCCGCCATGTGAGCGCTTCTACCAGGGCCTTCGGTGGAGCTCCCTGTGGGGCCAGGAAGCGCTGTACTGGCTGGGGGTAACACATGCGAACACCGCCACTGGGGCCTTCGGTGGAGCTGCCCATGGGGCCGCAAAGCGCTGTGCTGAGTGCGCGAACACCGCCACTGGGGCCTTCGGTGGAGCTCCCTATTGGGCCACGAAGCGCTGCACTTGGGTGCAAGAGACGCATGCGAACACCGCCATTGAGGCCTTCGGTGTCGTTCCTTGTGGGGCCACGAAGCGCTGTATTTGGATGGGGGAGACGCATGCGCACACCATCACTGGAACCTTCGGTGGGGTTCCTTCTGGAGCCACGGAGCGCTGTACTGGCTGGGGGGGACGCGTGCGCACACTATCACTGGGGCCTTCGGTGGAGTTCCCTATGGGACCAAGAAGCGCTGTAATGGGTGGGGGAGACACATGCGAACACCGCCACTGAAGCTTTCGGTGGAATTCCCTATGGGGCCTCGAAGCGTACTTGGGTACGGGAGACTCGTGCGAAAACCGCCACAAGGGCCCTCGGTGGAGCCCTATAGGGCCACAGAGCGCTGCACTGGAGCCAGGAAGCGCTGTAATGGTGGGGGAAACGCATGCGAACACCGCCACTGAGGCCTTCGGTGGAGTTCTTTCTGGGGCCACGGATCGCTGTGCTTGGGTGGGGAAACGCACGCGAGCACAGCCACAAGGGCCTTCGGTGGAGCTCCGTATGCGGCCACGAAGCGTTGTACTCGGTGGGGGATACGCATGCGCAGAGGCAGGGATGGGAGGAAGGAGGCAGGGGTGGGGGAGGGAGGACGCCAACGGAGCGGAGCGGAGAGGAGAGGGGAGGAGAGGCGAGGAAAGGTGAGGAGAAGAGAGGAGAGGAGAGGAGAGGAGAGGCGAGGAAGAGGAGGAGAAAGAGGACGAGGGGGACGACGAGGAGGAGAAAACGGGGCGGATAGGATGGCTGGGGAAAAAACTTCCCCTCCCTCGCCCTCCCAGGTCCCCCCACACCCGCTCGCCCTCCTCCTACAAGAAAGGGCGAGCTGAGACACTGACAAACTCCACTTCGGCGCTGGGTCGGCCCCCAGACCCCCCCCCTCGAGGATCCCAACGCACCAGCCCTCCGAGCTGCGTCTAGCCGTGGCGACGAGGGCCCACCCCGGGGGCTCTCACCTACAGGAATCTCCGACGGTCCCCCGACGGGTCCTCGCAATCTGCCCCAGTCCCTCGGCACCGACCCGGCCTTGCCGGCGCACCTGGCCTCCTGCACATGCGCCTCATCCGCGAGTGCCCCCCCGTCCAAGTCGCCCCCTCCCGCCCCTCGCCCTCCTCGCAGCCCGCCCCGGTCCTTCGGCCCCGAGCAGGCCTTGCCGCCGTACCTGGCCTCCTGCACCACGCGCCTCATCCGCGAGTGCCAGCCCGTGCCTCGGTTTGGACGCCCGAAATGGGTACGGAAAGAATGGGCACTATGCCCAACAACCACTGTTGTCCCAAACCAACAGCGGCCGCTGTTGGGCGGGCGGCCTCCTGTCTCGAATGGACACAAGCCGCGGCGGCGTGGACAGCGGATCTTGTTCAAAATGAATAGGATCCGCTGTTGGGCATAGTACCCATTCTTTCAGTACCCATTTCGGGCGTCCAGACTCGGGGGGGGGGGGCGCGGCGCAGGGGCCCGGCCTACCGCGGCCAACTGCGCGGGCGCGTGTTTCCACGGAGGGAGGTCGCTCGGCCGGCGGTCCACACAGGGGAGGGTCGAGCCCTCGCTGCCGGGCGAGCGCACAGCCGATGTGGGCCGCAGCGTCGAGGAGGGCCCCAGAAGGGAACAAGAGCGCTCAGGGAGCAAAACCCCGAACGCATCCCACGGACGGAGGAGGAAGAGGAGCTCAACGATATAAAGGTAAGGCGCCGAGGGGGCGGGTTCCCAGTCATCGACCAAACAACTGCAATGTCCCCGCGTGTATGCAGGGTCTCGGCTTCACGGCAGAGGCCTGCCTGGGGCGTCCCTCAATAAATCGCCGCGAGGGGGTCCCCGTGCAGGGTGCCAAACAGTGCGCAGCGGCGGAGCTGCGGGCTGGGGGCCACCTCCTCCTCCTCCTCCTCCTCCTGGTGGCCGGCCTGAGGGTTCGTCGGGCGCGGCCCTCCTCCTCGAGCGGCGACCGCAGCCTGTGGCACGCCGACGTCCACTGATCTCCTCCAGCAACAGCAGCATCAGGAAGGGCACCGCCTCCTCCTCCTCCTCCTCCTCCTCCTCCTCCTCCTCCTCCTCCTCCTCCTCCTCCGGCCGCCCCAGCCTCGCGCGCCTCGCGTCCCGCGCCCCGCTCGGCGCGCGGTCCTGTCCTCGCGCCCTCCCGAGGCCACCCTCGGCGAGGGGCAGCTGCCGCGGCCGCTGCCACAGCGCATTGGCGCGCGGCCGTCCTCGCGCCCTGGGCAGTGGCCCTGGGGCTGCGCGCGGGTTGTCGTCGGCGCGCCGCCGCCGTCCTGGGCCCAGCCATGATCGGTGCAGGTGGTCGGCGTGCACGCACATGGGCTGTACAGGGGGCGTCCCCTCGGGTGGCTCGCCCAGGCGAGGGCCCCAGCGGAAACTCGCCGCCCTTCTTCGGCTTCCCCGCAGCCCTGCCCCTCTCTTCCCTACCTCCCCTCCTTCCTCCTCACGCCCCTGCTTCTTTCCTCCTCGTCTTCGTCCTCGTCCTCATCCTCGTCCTCGTCCTCGTCCTCGTCCTCGACCTCCTCCTCATTCTCCTCCTCCTCCTCCTCCTCCTTCCCCTTCCTTTTCTGGTTCTAGTTGCGTGTGTCCCTCATCATCTTTACCTCTCTCTGGGCACATCCAACCTTGCCCTCGTGATCCTCCAGCCCCACAGCCTCAACTCGTGTTCCTCCTCCTTTTCCTCCTTTTCTTCCTCCTCCTCCTCCTCCTCCTCCTCCTCCTCCTCTTCCTCCTCCTCATCCTCATTCCTCCCTCATCCTCCCTCCTCCTACTCCTCCTCCCAGCCTCCTCCTCCTCCTCCTCTATTACTCCACCACCTCCTCGTCCTCCTCCGGTGTTGAGATCCCTCCGCTGTGAGGAGCAACTGCTGTTGATACCCCTCCAGTGTGCTGAAGTGTCTGTGTGAAATGTGCTTCATCGACCCTCTGGCTGTGCTTCTGATGAAAATGAACTCGTGTGCCAAACATCGCCCAAACAACGCTCACGATTTCTAACACAACGATTCCAATCCTACAAGAAATGAACCGGTCCAATTCACCGGAGGCTCCACAACACAGAACGTTCGTTTAGTTTCCCCGCCTCCCTCCCGTGCCTCTCTCCTGCCCCCGCCTCTCCATGCTCCGTCTTCCCTCCTTCCTTCCTCTACCCATTATTCTCCCTCCTTCCCCTCTCTTCTTCCTCGCCCCTCCGCCCCACCCCCCCTCTCCCTCCTACCGATCCTCCTGGTCACCCTGCTCCGCATGCTCCTCGTGCTCCTTCTCCTGCTCCTCTTCCTCCTCCTCGTCCTCCTCCTCCTCCTTCCCGCCCTTCCTGAAATACCCCCCTCCATGTTCCTCCTCCTCTTCCTCCTCCTCCTCCTCCTCCTCCGCCGCCGCCTCCTCCTCGTCAGCCTCCCTCTCCTCTAGTCGCAGTCATAGTCACAGTGGTCGTCTTGGTCCTCGTGGTCGTCGTCGTCGTCGTCGTCGCCACCGCTGTTGAAGTCGCACTCGTTCTCGTCGTGGTCGTCGTCGTCGGCGGCGTCGCGCCGCAGGATTTGCTGCACTGCGTCCACTCGCCCCAGCTGGAGAGCTTGCAGTCCTCGTCGCTGCTGGCCTCCGCGGGGGCGGGGGCTGTGCTGGACGCCGCGAGAGGGGGCGAGGGGGAGCCGTGGGGAAAGGGAGGGCGCAGGGGGGGAGCAGGGAGGGGGGCAGGGAGGGGGGGCCGAGGGAGGGAGGCACGGGGGGAGGGAGGTATCGAGCATCGAGGGGGGTAGGCGTAGAGTGGGAGGGAGGCGGGAGGAGTGGAGCTGATTTCTCGGCCTGGGCGCGGGGCGGAAGGGACAACTCGCAACTTGAGCAGCTCTGCAAAGCCCACCTCTGTCACGGGAGCGTTCGCAACGAAGCCGCTGCTCGAAATGATCGCTCACCCGTCCGATGTCGCCCACAACCCGTGACCCCCTCGCCTTGCTCCCCCTCCCAGACAGCTCCGCCAACCTGTCGCCATGCACGAGCTGGAGGAGAAGGAAACGGAGGTGACAGTTTTCAGGTCGAGGGATACTCGGCCTACGCCAAGCCTGAGAATGAAGAGGATGCGAACCTAGATCCCGAACTGGAGCTACAGATCCTCGTTGATGACACGGGTGTTCGCTGCACCCCGAAGGTGGAGAGAGGATGGGTTGGAGAGGGGAGGAGCTGCACGAGCGGCCCGCGACCGGGGAGGGCGACGGCGAGAAGTGAACAGGAGGAAAAGCTGGGGGACGGGGCAGTGAGCGAGAAACGAGGCAACGAGGGGTCGGCGGTGGACAAACCTACCTCTAGCACACCTCCCCTTAGTGAAAACGGCCTGGGACCGAAACCGACGGACCTGGACCCGCAAAAATGACGGCCGCGG